ATTTCTATTTAAATCAATGTAAAATTCAATAATTAGAACTCAGCTATGCCACCTCCAAATCAAGAGTGCATGTTAGTAGATTATCATTATCTTTCCAGTTTTGAAGTCTAAATATCAAATTTCAAAATAAATTAATTAAAATTTAAAAACATTTCTGATCAGTTGGCACACAATTAGGACATTTTAGTGTCACTCTGTAGGTGCTTGCTCATCATGGCTTCTTGTAGATAATATTGAGCTTTAGACTTGGAATCCAAAGTGCACTACTGTACCTTTCGGGACATTCCAATTTTCAACACGAGTGTTGAGTGTTGAAGTCAACAATTTGACGTCATCAACGACGTTCCAACTCGAGTAAGGAGTGCTTAGTTCCCATAATTCCATTCTCAGCAAGATGGATTCCATTCAAATGTCTTACCAATTACCCACAATTCATTGGAAAGTAGCAGTCAACATATCTGTTGAGTGCTGAGTGTGTTGAGTCAGCGCTGACAACAGCGTTACCCCAACGTTGAAAAAAGGAACAAATTTTAACGAATGTTGAGATCAGCCCTGAGTCAGCGTTGAAAATTGGAATGTCCCGTTTGTCTCATTTCTCATTGATTGAACTTTATTTTGCTTGCCATGTGGTGTTAATGTGTTGTTAAAATTTTTTTTTGTTAAGTAGCATCCAGAAATGGTCTTTTAATTTGAACTGTTTTCCTCAAAGTTTGAATTAAAATGAGACTATTGTAATTAGTTTCAACAATTTCTGCATTTATCCAATATATTCAAATGGTGTAAAGCTTAGGTGTAAAGCCCGAAAATGAAAACTTGATAATGGAAACTAAAAAACAAGTGATTCGAAACAGAATCACTTGTTTTTTAGTTTCCATTATCATGTTTTCATTTTCAGGCAATAGAGAGTCATAGCTTACAAGAGCATACATTTTTCATTACACACTATGAAGTAATTAGCTTTTAACTGAGGTGTCATTTCTATTTTATTTTTTTTTCTGTATGGGTATTAATTAAGAAAGTCTTTTTATTAATCCCATTATGGCTTTGACAAGGCTCACAATAGGATGACTGAATGATAAGGGATGAGACCCAACATATCTAGAACAGACACTCCCAAAAATTTCCTTGGATTTTTCAAACCATACAGATTTATTTCCAAGTCTTTGGAGCAATAGTCCAGAGGTTTTGTGGCACAACGGCCTAGGTAGGTCAAAGAATGCCAGGTCTAGCCAGATGTTGCTGTATGCCCTTTTGGGTCTTTTAGAATATAATTGTTTTGTGGTATGTCCTACAGTTCCCTCATAAGAGTAACAACAAAGTATCACATATTCAAATAAAATGGCTATTAACTTATTTCAAATGTAATTTGGCAAACAAGGTTATACATAGAAACACAAGTAAGTAGACATTACATACAAATCAAGATGGATGAAAAACTCAGATGAAACCTTTAAAAACAGCAGAAACAATTTAATTACAAACTTTTTCGATCATTTTTAAAGACCATCCTTAGGTAGAATACAAAATTGAGCTTAGCAAAAATAGAATATAACAGATCTTCCATATCCAATATATTCTATTTTTGCTTAAGTTTAATTTTGTATTCTAACTGAGGATGGTCTTTAAAAATAACCAAAAACATTTGTAATTAAATAGTTTTTGCTGTTTTTAAAGGTTTCACAAATGTCTGAATTTCCACATGCACATTTAGTTTTTACATTATGGGTGAAAAACAATTCACATGGCAAATATGAGTAAGAGCAAACTTTAATCTAAATCCCTTTAGATTAAGGTTTGTTCTTATTAAATTAAGTTTAGATTCAAGTGCAACATTTCCTGAAAACAGAAAACTAACACTAGATGATTAATATCCAACAAGAGCATGACAAAAAGAACAAGGAAAAACAGTGGATTAAAAGGACCTTGGCAAAAGAACACACAAAAGGAATCTTGGAGAAAGAACCTTAGGAATGGCACGGCACTTCTTTGTGTTTTTTGAAGGCAATAACCCAGTGTCCTCGAGACACGAGGTTTTATTAACACGACTGTTTTGATCGATCATTTGGCTTCAGACCCCCTTCACTTGCTAAGTGGTTCCTTACCCATTGCCAAGTGCCACCGGATGCAACACAATTTCCACTTAGGTTCCACTTAGGTTGCAGGAACAGTCAAAATCAACATTTTATACATTCCAACCAGAGACATCCAATCTTAGGACTTACAATTTTACTTCGTCTATACATTCACATTGCATTTCTGTCTTTCCTTTTTTTCTATATGAATTCTAAAATATTTTAAAGCAAGTTTTAGCGAGGGGCCAGAGCCTAACAGTCTGTTCTTGGGTGTATCGCTAATAAAAAGATAAAATATGTAATAATTCTATTTAATTTCATAACATCCTGCTTTTTGCAACATTGTAATTTTCAACATGTTTAAATCATTCTTCATATTAAATTTCCTGTTATTTTCATTAAATAATTAAATGAGATGATAATTTCAAAAGTTAAATACTGTCCAATATTTATATAATGAAGTGTATCTGTTTTAAATACTAAAAATTGATAAACATATTGTTATGTAAACAAATGCCAAAAAAATATATTTAAATATAATAAATCTAATGTAAAACTTAAGCATTAAATATTCTATATAAATAATACAAATCCTGATAACTTATATCATTAAAACTTCAGTTTTTATTTTAAAAAAAACATTTATTTATTTTACAGAATTTATATTAATAACAAGTAAATAGGATGAGCTCAATAAAAATTTATTTAATTTTCTACTTGAAAATTTAGCTTTAGATGGAATAAAATGAAAAGCTCGTTTGTAAGCAAGTTTAAAAATGAACCTACCCAATTTTTAGATCTAAAAAACGAAACGCAACAGCTTCCGAGTGCACCTTTACCGCCGTATATTAACACACGATTAACGGGAGCCGCCATTTTGAACTAGTAGAAGCCAGCCGAAGAAGAAACAGGACCGGACGGAATCTAATAACAAATTAATAAATAATTACGAAATTATTTAGAAATTAAATATATTAAAACTACTTAACGATTTAAAATAATTTGTAATTTAATATTTTACATAAAAAATTTATCGAAATTTTCAATTTTTTGATGAAAATTTTCACACCACGCGCCATGACGTCACTGTCGTCTGGTTAGTTATCGGAAGAAGAATGCGTAAGTAAGTGAAGGGAAGCCGAAATTACATTTAAAATGAATTGTGAAACGATTTTGTAATGTCGAATTAAAGCTTCTTTAAGCTTTATTTGAATATACTTGCAACAAAATATAAAATATTTGGAGGCGTCAGCATCAGCAACTGCGATGTCCCGTCATGAAGGTGAGTCTTGGTTTAAAAATGACTGTTTTCATGAAGGTTTCCTTACTTATTTATATAAAATATCGTTATATTTAATCCGAGAATATTACAAAATCACGTAATAAGCAGGAACTTATAAGAAATAATCTAATACAGCTACAAAATCGACGAATGATTCGTTAGGCCTAATCTTAACAGTGTACTTAGGCCTATTTTTGCGCATTTCAATATAAATCCAGTTAGAAAAACATAAAATTATGTTAATAAATTTCGTGTAACATTTAAAAAAAAATTCCCTCTTTAATGTAGTGATATTTATATATTTAGTTACACAATGATTAACTTGAAAAAGTTATTTAGTTTATTTAAAAAAATTAATAATTAATTTGTAGTTTTGTGTGAAATATTTTTTCAGAAATTCCATGTTTTTCTACAAAAATTAAAATAATGTAACGTCACAAATGTTTGTAAACATGTCCCAAAGCTATAATGGTGCTTTAACAGCTTAAAAATAGATAAGGAGCTGCAAGTGAGAAATAGAATGAACAACAATCTGTAATTCAGTAATTAAGAATCAAATAGCAAACGTTTTCAGCCATTTTCAGGTTAAAAATATAGAATAAGAAAAAAATAAGTGATTACAAAGCAGACTACTATATGAAATTCTATATATTTTAAGCCTGAAGATGGCAGATAAATATAGCCAAAAACGTTTCATTAATTGTAATTAATTGCTGGATTAAGAAGCATTGTTTATTCAGTTTTAGATATCCTCTTTTGAGTTCTCTTCTGCAACTGGAATCTATGGAATTAATTCAAATAATAACCAGTTTATAATTTAGAAGATTAAGTTATTGCAATATACATAAAAAAATCTTTCCATTATTATATATGTGATTTCAGTATGGAATGAAACTAAAAGTATTGTGAAATTGGGAAATGCCAGCAAATTTATAGTCAATAGATCAATGCTGTTATGACTTTGCAAACTAAGACAAATATATTTTGAAGATATTTTTCTATAATATGTGAAAACAAAAGCCATTTAATGTTGAATATATTTGATATGATTTTCTTGAAAATGTTTGTACTGCTTAGTTGTATCACACTTAGATGTACTTTAACAAAATGTTGCTTATTATGGTTGGCATAACTGATATAAAGTTGTAATCTTTTTAAAAAATTATCTTTTTTATAATTACTATAAAATAACAACTACTACATATTTTATTAAGTGTTAGAAGTTAAGAAAACAAAAAAAAATAATAGCAATAACCTATAACTTTTTTACCACAAATTTAACATATTATATTAAGTATAAAACTTATCAAGATTTAATTACAGTTATGATTAGTGTTTTCTTTTAAATCCAATTTATGCAAATTGATGACCTAAACTTACTAAGTAAATGTAAGACTGTTAGAAAAAATTTATTTTTACAGAAATTTTTGAATTTTGTTTTTTAACATTTATGGTATTAGAAAATCAATTTGGGAAAAAATGGAAGAGTCAATTCTAAAACAATAAGAAAAATCCTGTAGTGGTGATGGTTACATATGTAACTTCTTTTGTAATAAATATATATATTTATTTAAACTTAAGTGGCTTTTCTAAACCATTTTAAACTTCAGTTTTAATGTAATTTCTTACATTGATTTTCCTTTTTTAGCTTAGTCTGATCAGATTAAAACTATTTTTCAATCTTAATTTTGTTTTTAAGTAATAGTCACATTAATGACTTTATATTGATAGCCATAACATGTGTTTTGATTTAGCCTAATCTATAAATGCAGTCAGTTGTTTTGAGAATAAACTTTTTTGTCAGCCTATAAAGAAAAACAAATTATAACTATAGTGTTATTATTGATAAGGAATGAAAACAGAATATATTAATCAAATAAACATTACATTTATGCTGCAAAAAAGTTTTGAATCTAACATTCAACAACAAATAAATCTATTAATTGAACATCCATATGTCAAATAAATTTTATTCATTTGAATTGAAAATCTGGAAATTTTTGAGTGAAAAGTAATAAAAGTAATTGTAATATTTGGATTATCATCATCTGTTTGTGTACATAATTGGTACAGTACATTTTGATATTTTAACACTATAACCAGTTAATACTTACTACGTTTATCTGTGATTATAATAAAATAACAAATCCATTGATGATTGATTTTAATATAATTTAATCTTGGATTTGCTTTACTTATTTGTTATTGGAAACTGTTACACACACAGTAGTTCTAAAGTAGTTTTTTTACTGATTTCAAAGGTGTGAATTTACTTTGGCATTCTCTCTGGTTACATACATTATAAGCAAGAAACGAGAAAATTATCATTAGGTGTTAAACTACGTATATCGCTATAAATTAATATAAATTATTTATACATAGTTTAACTCCTGGATGATAATTTTCTTGTTTCTTGCTATCTATTGATCAGGTGAAGTCCAATCCCGTTCACATTTAACTTAATTTACAACAGACCTGTAAAAACTTCTTTTATACATAGATTATTTATGTAAGAAAAATACAGAATTTTCCAAATGATAATAATGCTCATTTAATAAAATATGTAATTTGTTGTAATACTCTGAACAGTATTAATACAAAAGTAATAATAGCTAAGTAAAAATTATGAACAAAAGCTGACTTGGAAAACATCATTATTTATTGATGATTTTATGAGTATCATTGTATACAGTTATTGCAGTGGATGATTGATAAAGTTCAATTATTATGAAAATTTGTGAAATGAAAATCACACTTGAACTCTATTCTCTGAAAATATTTTCTTTATGCACCTGGAGAAATTGTTTTACCTCTTTGCAGGGGCAGATATAGGTTTTTTGGGGCCTCTGACCTATTGAAGTCCAATGGGGCCCCATTTTTTGTTAGATTAAAAATCTCTAAATTAGGGTTTAAAATTCATTTTTAATAACATCAAAATCATAGTTGAAATATATTTATTTATGAAATGGTATTGAATGACGAACTCTATATCTTATATTAAAAACATAAGAAATATTTACATTGATTAATTACTGACTAATTACATTACATTGATTACAATAAAACAAATAATTATAAAAATAGTTAATAAAATAAGTGCTCATTGTTAATGAGAAAGTATTAAAAATTTATGACGATGATTTAATTTTTGTGGGCCCTTGACACCTGGGGGGCCCAAGACTTTCCTATTAGTCCTTATGTAGATTTGCCCCTGCCTCTGGCTACAAGGGGAATTAGTATAACAGAACAAGTCAAACAATTTTCTTTTTGGTTGATTTCGTCTTGAAGATGATTTTGACTAATTTTGTATTTAAAAATTAGTGGACTTTTTGACATCCAAAAACTATTATCTATTTATGACTATGGCATGTATTGCCCCTCTGGAAAATTATTTAAGAAATGCATGAACATTATTAGAAAACACATTAATAATATGATCATATTTTCAAAAGAATTACTAAACTTTTTAAAATAAGATAAATTTTGATGTCAATATTTATGAAAAATACAGAAAATATAAATTTTCTTTCTTGTAACTAAAAATCACTAGTCCAAGATTACATCTTTTTTCAGCAATCTGTATTGATCAGAGAGAGACAAAGACATTTAACTCAATACTTTTATTCAGCAATGCATTTCAGAAGGATATAAAATTCAATTCTTAAGCTACAAAATTTAAAAAAAAACAAATTCAGGAAAGAAAATTTATACAAGTTTATCTGTTTCCATACCTAACAATTTTTATCATTTTTAAGGAATATGGGAAATGTGTTTATAAAATAATGCAACTTCTATTTTAAGACAGTTCAGAAAGTTTAAATGCAGTTTATTAATTTTCAGATTTTCCATCAGGAATAAGTGAATATTTCATTTTAATTTAAGCTGATATAAAATAGCACTCATTTAAATAGCATCAAGAGTTTTGAAATAAAAATGTGCTTTCTTGGTTCTTTCTAAAGTTGTTGTTTCAGTTCTTTGTAAAAAATCAAAATTGTGGTTTTATAATCGAGACCAACTTGTCCCTACTACAATTGCATAAATCATAATTAGTAAACAATTTACACACCTGAACCATTTACGGTGTGATCACGCAAAAATCAGTAAACAAACATTTTCGAACCCAGAAGGGGTTCGAAAACGTTTGTTTACCGATTTTTGTGTGATCACACTGTAAATGGTTCAGGTGTGTAAATTGTTTAGTAGTTCCGGTGTGATAAATAGTGAATTTAATCATAATTAGACTGCAATGTAACAAGTGACTGCACTGATCAAGAACAAAGTAAACAATCTTCCAATTTCATTATTGAAACACACAATCCCTGGATTTTGGTAAATTTTTTCATTAATATCTACATGCTTAGTTGAGATGTTACTCCATGTTGTTATAATGTTTTTGCAGCTATTTTTCATAATTTTTCTACAGCAAATTTCACCAACCTCATTTGTGCAATTGGCATATTCTGCACTTTTGGATGATGCCAAATTTGGACTGTGTGAAGATGCAGAATAATTCGAGTTCTTAAAGATCTTCACTGTTCCCTTACTGCGGTGTAGCCTTATGTTGTTATGGTTTAAGAAATCTAATGAATTTATATGTACTTTTTAAAACATTTAATTAGTGTAAAAAGCTTTTTATGCAGAATTTATTGATTTGAGAGTTTATCATTTGTTACCATGACAGTATAATTAGATCACCATTACTATGGTAATGAGTCATTTGTTTGAATTGTTTCTGAAGATATAAATCTAAAAAAAACTTGAACTTAATGAAAAATAAATAAATAAAAGATTATTTTTACAGCTTGAAGCTTTTGTATTATTTCAGCCTTTCTGACTTGACTGCAATTCTCATTTAATAATTAAATCAATGCAGAGTTGAATATCACCTTCTGATTTTCCTTGCGTGGCCATTTTAGAAGAGTGAATGGTGAAAACTTGTAAACAAAAGCTCATTGTTATAGTAAATAACTACCAACAATCATGTAATGTGGAAAGTGCAA